CCATTAATCAAACTCATTTTATACAACAATTCGCAAGTGGGTTTGTGAAAACGATAACCTAAATCTGATTTTAAGTTTTTAATGGTATAAATAATTATATGAAGCATGCTCACAAAGAGATTCCAGGGTTTGATAATATTGAAAAGAACATAAAAAAATCTTCTTAGTATTGATGGGATTGCGAAGGGTTCTTATAATAGGCTCTTAAAACTATTATTATATCTCGAAGCATATTTATTTTGAGTGGATCAAGATTTTTTCACTTAAATTTTTTTTTTTTTTGGAACAAACAGGAGTTATTTGTCATGTAGGGAAAAGAGTTTTGTTTGGTTAATCAACTGACTTTAGGGTTCTTTTTTACTCTTTAATTAGGTGCTTAATTCATCATTAATTGATTGATTAATTGGCTAGCTAACTAACTAAAAACATTTGTGCCAAACTTTAAAATGAGAATTGATGCTTTGAACATTAATTATGAGATATGGATCTAGAGATCATACTTGTAAAATTAAAAGATATATTTAGGTATTAATATTTAAAAACTTTAAAATTGGTGTGGATTAGGGATTTATGAATTAGGGATTTGTCAATCATAGGTCGAGAAGTCTAAAAACAAAAATCATGGGAAAAACTCAAAACAGATAATCCTTTATGTAATGAAATTTATAGTGTAAGAGACAAGCAATGTTGCACAAAGTTATAATATATTTCAAAATTTTCAAACTAAGTAATGTAACATCATATGTAACATTATAATTAGAATTATATAGAACGACACATCATTTTAGGTAAAAATTATAAAAAGTAAATTTTGTCCTTATAGATTTGGAGAATTTTTTTTTTTTTTTAAATAATAAACATAATTAGTTATTCGACAACATAGACGTGTAGAAGTAGGCAAAGCAACTTCTAAATAAGCATAAGTCAATTATCATGAATTAATTAATTAATTAATTAATTTAATTATATTTGATTTTGACACTTTCTTGATTAGTTGATTGAAAAATATTTTATCATCATAAGTAATTAAAACTAACAAGCCATATAAAACAAAATCGCCCACTATAATATATGATTAAAATCATATAATTAAAGCTATATAAAACAAAATCGCCCACAATAATATATGATTGACTTAATCATATAATAGGAACAGGTTTAAGTCAATCATATTATGCTTGATTAAGACATAAATAAACATATTATGCAAGATGTCAAAAGTATATAGCTTAATTTTCAAAGCCAACTAATTTTGGCAGTCAATTTCTTGCATTTTTAGTGTTAATTAAAGCCACATAATCTTTTATAATTAATATAAGCTATGCTTGAACTACCACACTTAATTCCCATAAAGTTATTACTTTTACAAGTGTTATTTAATTCTAATTGACACATATATAATATACTTTATGGAAAATTCAATTCAATAACGTAATAATTTTTTTTTTAAAAATTTTGAAAATAATTTTGAAGCTTAGATAATGAAGTGGGATTGCATCAAAACCTGACACCTTTTAAAGAAAAAACCTAACAAGATTAGTCAAACTCAAGAATAATCCAAAAGACACAATCATTAATAAAGCTACAACTTGATTAATCTAGTTGGGTGTGAAAGCATTTAGAAGTGATTTTTTAAAGTGGGGTTTAATTTAATTATTATTATTATTATTTTTATCATTTGAATTCAAATTGAAATAATTGGCTTGAAATCTTTTAATTTAATACCTACCATGGTGTATTTTGTGTCCACTAATTAAGATGTAAAGATCCATATATCCCCAACTGTGGTTAGTTCAGACGGTTAGATTGGATTGAGGATAATGTGGATAGGCGTACAGTCTCAAGTTCGATTTCCCATCTGAGTATTCTTAATTTAAATGGGGGGTCGTGACGATGGTTTACATGTTTTTATTATCCGAGAGTGGAGGTAGTTAACATCGCCAAGTTGTTGGTTTACATATTTTATTATGCAAACGTCCGCATATGAGAATGACTAATCAATGTCTAACTATTACCAAACTCTATATTTACTACTTCACCAATTTGTTATAGAAAGAAAATTGAAAAACAAAGAGAATAGGTCATTCTTCATTATGGGTTGTGGCCTCTTGGCTAGATTTGCGCTTGAAGGTCCATGTATTTTCCAGTGTAGGCCCAGTAAAACAAATATCATGTATGATTTGAAACTTGGACTAGGCCCAATTGCTGCAGTCTCCACAACTTTGGGCCCATATCATAGCAAAGACAGCCCATTTGTTTTGAGTATTGCTGAACCAAAAGGACTATGGAGCTCAGGATGGGCCAGGCCCAAGTATGAACAATTTTTCTTTCTTTTTTAATTTCACACTTGGAAAAATGATGAATCAATTATTAATAAATCATAAAACCAATTAAATCAAAATTTTAAATTCGCAATCGAATCTAACTTGCTTGAAATATTTTTAATCAAATCCTCGTTACCCACTTCCTTTTCGTCGTATAAAGATAAATCTCTGCTATGTAGAATTTTATGTAAGATACTTACATAATTTGTTTGCAAGTCTAAAAGATCGATAATTGACCTCTTTAGACAACAAGGAAAATTCATCAATCATTACCCTCGGGTATAAAGTTTCAAGATACATCTCGAATATATTCAATTATTTGTAAGATACATACGTAAAGTTAAAACTAATCGTGTTTAATTACAACTAATCATATCAAATTTAGTTGAAATCACTTTTTAAGGAATTAATAAAGCTTCCATATATTCTCTGTCTTTGTGCATGGACATTGAATAACCTTAAAGGTATATAAATTGTTGTAGGTTGAGATTATAGAGAGATTATTCTTAACTTAAATTAGGGTTAAAAGCAAGCTTAAACCCTGCAAAGCCACATCAACAAAACCTGTAAAGTGGGTTAGCCAACTTGGCTCCTTATCACTTTCCTCCACCATTCATGGAATCCTTCATTCCCATTCACACACCTTTTACACTCTTATTGGATGCTTTTCACATGAATAAATAGTTTTAACACTATTTGCCCCCCCTGAGGTTTTCCTGAATGACATATCTCATCTCCTATATCTAAAACAACAATTTACCCCCTGATGTCAATGTTTTGTTAGGATTTCGGTGTTCAATTTAATGGTGTTCAATTTAATGAATCACGATGATAACAAAAAACTGATGTCATGGGTTAAATTGTTATTAAGAAAGTCTATGATACTACAGTAATATTACTATCTAATATGATACCAGAAGTCAATACATACAGATAAGTAGTTATTATGGTTGATAAGTACCAATCAGATTCACCGTAAAGATAAATAAGAGAGAAAGGTGGTACAAATTCACTAGATAGTGATATGAATAAAGTGGTACCCTTGTCGTATTCTAGATTTCTCTTTGTTATTTGGATTCCTGAGGGGGAAATTATTGTTTATGAAAATCACAAGGGGGGAAACAAATCCCAAAAGAAATTAGGGTAACATGAAGATTTCAAAGGAAAAAAAAAAAAAAAAATTGAGATGGTGCGTAGATATTATATAAGGATAAAAGTACAAAAAGATAAAAAGAAAGAACAACGGTGAAGAGAGGATGATGCTAAGCTTTGTATGGATTCTTGATGGCCTATAAGTGCTTTTCAGAATCACTTTGTAGCTTCTTCCTTTTGTTTTGGCAATGTGAACTTGTCTTTGCATGGTTTGAAGAAAGAATAAGAATATTGGATAACTTCATTTTTTTTTTTTTTTTTTTTTTTTTTTTGGGTGTGGCCTGCAAATTCGATCCGCATCCAGATTAAAGACAAGAATTTCTCTTTATACGAATTTTATTTAAAATTCTTATGAGCATCTTGACTACCCCTCAGAGGAGACTAATGTAGCAACCCACTACCACGACCCTCACTTAAATCGGATATGTTCAGAATAAGAATCAAACCTGAAACCAGAAAATTGTTATCTATTTTTATTCAGATCAAAGTTACGTTTAATATGTATAATTATTTGTAAATCAATCATTAGAGTCTCGATATCTTTTTTTTATTATTTTTATTTTTTCTTTAGAGATGTCTCGATCGAGTCTTGAATTTGATATGTAAAAAATATATAAATTAGATAACGTTTATCAATCAGTATATATATTGATACGCGAAAGCAACGAAGAAATTTCAATTAGTGTTCATAATTTTCATTTAGCATTCAAGATAAAGAAAGATATATAAACCAACAAAGATGGGGAACCCTAGAGCTTTCATTAATTTTTAATTATTCTCAATTTGTATTTTTCCCTATTGATCAATAATTGGGCCCTGAAAACATTTGATTGACATTTGAGAGGAGAAATATAGGCACACTTTTATAGAAGATAAGGATTACTGATTGAAAGAAAGTAGTAATTTCTGATCCTTTTACTGTTATATGTTGATGGCTCTTTAATTAAATTTAGGATAATTTTAAAAAAAAAAAAAGTGAAATGGGGATAATTGGGATTGAAATTTGATTTAATTTAGAATTTTGGGTTTAAGATTTAAGATTTATTGCATAATTCTATTATTTAGACATAATTTCATCCACCCAATAAATCTCGAGCCGTGTTACAATTATTACATAAAGAGATGTTTAATAGTTTTCGACATTCGTTTATCGATTTATCGTGAGGGCGAATTAAATTTAATTATATTATTTATAACCAAAATTCCCTTATAAAACTATTATAATTATATTAAGAAAGTGCATGATATTAATCTTTTAATTAAAATGTGACAAATCTACCAATCTTATCAAGATTTAATTGTAGATAACTCTTGTGTCCTTTCATTCCTTATCACCTAATCTTTCTCTAATTTTCTTTTTCATCCAAGAAAATTTTCTCCCTCTTTTCCCTCTAACCAAACAACTCTTAATTTTGGATAAGAAAAGAAACCCTGTTGCACAAACAAATGAACAACACAGAACTTTGCTCACAATCACATGCTCATCACCATTAACATTTGAGAATTTCCAAGATGAACAGATGATATACAAAACAAAGTACAATAATTCATTAATATATCCAAAGCTGACAACGTTTACATGAGAAATTATTGCTGATACACAACCTAATTAAAGCTCTCCATGGTCAAGCATGGAAGCAAAAACACCAGCTGAGACCAAGATGGAGAGTGAGCTTCAATAAGCTTTTACATATATTAACATAGTAGCGTGCTCTGCAATCGGTAAAAATTTCATTGCAGAAGCCACTATTGACTCTAAAAAGAAAAAAGAAAAAAGAAAACCTAAAAAACATACAAATTCTGATACATAGTTTAATTTAAGACTACTCTGATAGCTTTCTAATGGCTTCCCAATCAATCTCCACTGAAGGGCATTTTTCCAACCCAAAGTTGTCCATTTCATGTTCCCAGTTGGAGTTATTGTAGTCGAGGAACGAAATCTCAGACTCGGGAGATGAAGAACCTGCAGTGTCGGAAGAAAACTCCGGAGATGATGAAGATGGAGCTTGAGGAACCACAACAACTGGCTTTGTTTCGATTTCGCTTTCACAGGATTTTGCAGGTTGTTGTTTATGTGATGAATTTGTCACCAAATTTTGGCAAATAGCTTGGAGTTTTGCATCAACTGAAGATGGGAGAGGCTTGTAGTTGCCAAACTCTCCGGAAACATGAGCTCCCTGGTGTTTGAGGTGGGGGAAATTGAGCCTGGCGAATTCTCCTCGGAGCTTGAAGGCGGCTTTGTCATAAGCCAAAGCCGCTTCTTCAGCGGTGTCGAATGTGCCGAGCCAGAGGCGGGTGCGGTTCTTGGGGAGTCTGATCTCAGCCACCCATTTGCCCCAGTGCCTTTGCCTCACGCCCCGGTAGAGCTTGGTGGGTTTTGGTGATGAAGAACTGGTGGTATTGGTAGTGGCAACATGTTTCATAGGGACAGCTTTTGGAGTGAGATAGGAGGTGTGTTTTTGGCTGAAAAGTGGCGATGTGGCCAAAGAGGATTGACGGATTTTTTGTTGTTGTTGTTGTTGGAGGTGGATTTGGGATTGGATTTGCAGGATTTGAGAAGGGGTAAGGTGGTTGAGGCCAATTGAACCAACTTGTTGCTCAAAACCCATGTAACCTTGAGAGAACATGTGGGTCATGTTAGTTGAGTAATATGGGGAGCAATAGTCAGGTGACAAAAAGCTGCAAGCTGTATCAGAAGAAGCATAAGACAAAGCAGATGGAGAAGAAGAAGATGGGTTTGGTGAAGAAGAAGAAGCACTTTTCATAAAAGGTTCAAGTGCTTTCATCAACTCTTCCCTCAATGGATCTGAGAAGATCTGTGTTGATGTTGTGTTGTTATAAAAATCTATAGCTGCTGCCATGACTAAACCTGTGTCTTACCAAAACTAAAGAACAGGTAATAACAGTATTATATAGACAAAAACAAACAAAAACCAAATTAAAAAAAAAAAAAAAAAAAAAAACCAACTTTAGGGGACCAAAAACTAACCCTTTTAGTTGATGAAAAACAAAAACTAAAAATTTTCACAAACAGTTTATGAAAAAACAAAAACCTGGATCTCTATTCTGGATCACCTGCTTTCAAAAACACCCTTCTGGGTTTGTTTTTTGTTTTGCTTTCAAAAATCAAATCTTGGAGCTTGAAAACAGTTGATAACAGAAAGGGATTCAGAGAAGAGGGGAATTACAGAGGGGGATTGAAGATTGAAGACGAAAAATAACAAGAGAAAATTCTGAAAAACACTCAAATTTTCAACCTCACTTTGTTGTGTGTTTCACTCTATGCATCTTCAAGCTCAACTTCTTGTGTTTATATAGCCCACAGCTTAATCACTTTCTCTCTCTGGTTAACCCTAATTATTTATCTTAATCTTTTTTATTAAGTCTGATTATTAATTTCTGGCTCTAGTCAACTCAAAGATACCTTTTTTCGATTAAGGATATCCAATGGTAATCTGCCACGTAAGGTCAGGACTGGCAGATGGCGGTAAGAATCGGTGGCTTTACACGTGGGGGAGATTTATTGGTTCAGAGATTGGAGTTTTTGACTCTTTCTAAGCTTTTGGTATTTAATGCAATTTTTGTCCTGTCTAGTGTTGTTTGCGGCACCACTTCAATGTTATCAAAATTATAAGCTTTGTGGGCAATTTTTTTGTGTTTTCAGTACTACGATACTAAGCTACTCACCACCGTCGATTTAAAAATGAAATGGGTTTTTGATATGATTGGTATTAGGTTGAGGAGAAAATTTCCAACGTAAATATTTGCATTATTTTTAAAAATTTATTTAGATGACATTTATTGGTATTGATTAGCAATTTGATATCTATGAACAATAAATTTTGTCTTTTAATATTAAACCACATTGATAAATAAAAATTCAAAGTTTGAAAATACAAACGTCAACATTTAAAAACTTTTGTTAGGTAAAGATACTTAGCATCATGAAAATGAAATTATATGTACATCAGCTTTTTTCGTCGACGGCTTTTACAAGTTAAGAAAGTAAGTATATCTCTCTAAAATAATACCGTAATTGAGTTAGGCAAGTTTTTAAGATAATCAAAGTGTTTCTCTTAACTTGTAAAAAAGGTTTAGTTTATTTTTAATAATAAATTTAAAAATCAGTTTATTTTCATCCAATGGTTGATAATGATGTCACACTATAACTCATGATAGTCTTGAGATGTATAATAAAAAAAAAATCATTATAAAATTATCACTCTTATCCATACTAAGATAAATATAAATTAATCACATAATTAAAGTGATTAAACAATGGTTAATAGATAGAGTGGTTGTGGTTTAGTGGTGGGCACAAGTTGAAAGTTTGTTGTGAGTTGCGAAGAGGAGAGTTAACCATGGTTAGGTTTTTGGGTTAACCATGGTTAGGTTTTGGGGGTTGCGCAATCATGTGAGCAATGGCGACAAAACTTAAGGTTGGTACAAGATATCATCGTCAATTGCGGCGCCAGGGAATCCTTCAAGAGAGAGAGAGAGAGAGAGGCATTGGATTCTAGAGGTAAGTGAAGGGTTAGTTTTAATTCATCACGCAAATCAAGGAATTTTCATACCTACCTAACCCATCTATCTAGTTAACTAACCATGGTTAATGTCGGCAGTCTATTTAAAAATTAAAAGTAAGTGTTTTTATTTTTTTACATATAACGAGTATAAGTATAATAAAAAAAAATAATAAAGAGATGTTTTATTTAAGATGTATAATATTTGCTTGTATTAGTTGGTTATATTAGGAGTTTGTTGTATACAAGTTATTTTTTTATTTTTTATGATTGGAGTGTTTGGACTAGCTTATACGCATCTTAATTAATCTCTTAAAATCTCAAAATTATTAATCGAATAAAAATTTCAGTAGCTATCCCTATTAGCAATCGAAGAGGGACTCGAGCTCATAAGCTCTTAAAAAATAACTCAAGAGTTCATATTAAACCACTGAATTAGCCAAAAGTTGTTTTGTATATAAGTTATTCCTGTGAATTAAATGTATATACATTCGACCAACCAAGTTGTGTTATAACAATATTAAATATTCACAAATCGAGGAATTTGATATCAAACCCAACCCATATCTAGTGTTAGCGTAATTAATGCCGATGTTGTAAATCATATTGCATTATTACATATTAGATGAACGTATATTCTACTATTGTACGATTGAATAGATATTTACATATATCTGATTTATCGAAGATTTTTTATTTTATAATAGGAGAAATTTGATTTTAATTATTATATTAAATAAAATAAATTTAAATATTAATTCAAAGCCTTTTTTCTATAATCAAAGATTTTTAAAATCCATTTTTTTTTTCAAATTGTAAGTTCAAAACTAAATCTCTCGTTGTGGTAAAATGAAAAGCCTTTTAATCACTATATTAATTATACCTAGAGATTTTGTGTTCGAATAATTGGAAAGAAAATTACCAGGTTTATTAAAAAAAAAAAATTGAAAACTAGAATTTCAGCTTGGAAAATAGGCAGGGCAAGGTCCAAAATGAACCATGGTTAGTGCACCCAAGTCAAGTCAAGAATGAGAGCGAAAGAGGAAGTTGCGTATGAAGCAAGCGAGAGCATGAAATTGCGTGAAGCAGGACCCACTAATATCAAAGCTATGGGTCCTACATTGACGTGGCCACACGTACTCTCCTACGTGTACGTCACTTTCTACGCACGCATAACACCCGATCCCTTCTCTCTCTCTCTCTCTCTCTCTTCCATTACCATTACTAATTTTTTAGATTTTAAGGATATTTTATTCCACTCTAATGGGTTTTGATGTGACGTGTCCATGAAGATTGACTTTGACCCCTCTCTAATTTCTCCATTATTGGTATAAATTATTGTAAATTTATGAAAATTATAACCCTAAAATCATATAATAATTTATGATTTTTCTCTTATTTCTTTCAATGGAAAATCCATAAAAAATATTTAAAAAAACCTCAAAAAATCATATTTGATCGAGATTTTTCAAAAATTATTCATATATGAAAAAAGAAATATCACCAACCGATACATTTATATTATTTTCTTATTTACCTATTTTTATAGAACAACTTTTCATACACGTAACATCGTAAATTCTCTTTTTCAATAAAAATTAGCTTAATTTTGATGTGATTGTTTTTTATAAGGTTGTAGACCCGAAAGAGGTTAATGAAAAATGATAAAATAATTAAAACAACTCCCACATAAACTATAAGAAAAAAGACAAATTTACAAATATAATTTAACATTGGATTATATTATATAGTTTACTGACATACAAACAATAGCTTTGTGAGACAAAATGGGTTTCAATTTTATATAAATATTTATTAATTTATTTTTTAAATATTTTATCTTTTTGAGCTATATCAAATGCATGTAGCTCTTCGAGGTCGGATCAGTCATTTTTATTTATTTATTTATTTTTACAAAAACTCCTTCACTTTATTTAACATGAAGCGTCATGTGCAATTGTCGTTTTTGGCAGGTTCTATTTGGAGCAATTAAGGAGAGTAATTAATTAATGTTAAGTGAGATTAGGCGTTTATGAAGAGTTAATTGCTTTGTGAGACACATGAATGGCTAAATATTAATGAATTAATTTTGTTTGTTAGTAGTTGAGTTTAATTAAGGGGGCAAATCATGCGGGTTTCTTTCTAATTTCATGTGCCTCTAGATTCCTTTTAATTTAGTTTAATCCAATAAATTTAAGGGCATGTTCTTAAACAGGGATTGGTTTCTGATAAATATACATTATCTCTCTAAAATAATACCGTAATTGAGTTAAGCAAGTTTTTAAGATAATCAAAGTGTTTCTCTTAACTTGTAAAAAAGGTTTAGTTTATTTTTAATAATAAATTTAAAAATCAGTTTATTTTCATCCAATGGTTGAAAATGATGTCACACTATAACTCATGATAGTCTTGAGATGTATAATAAAAAAAAAATCATTATACAATTATCACTCTTATCCATACTAAGATTAATATTTAATTAATCACATAATTAAAGTGATTAAACAATGGTTAATAGATAGAGTGGTTGTGGTTTAGTGGTGGGCACAAGTTGAAAGTTTGTTGTGAGTTGTGAAGAGGAGAGTTAACCATGGTTCGGTTTTTTGGGTTAACCATGGTTAGGTTTTGGGGGTTGCGCAATCATGTGAGCAATGGCGACAAAACTTGTGGGTGGTACAAGATATCATCGTCAATTGCGGCGCTAGGTCGCTCTGAAAGGGAATCCTTCAAGAGAGAGAGAGAGAGAGAGGCATTGGATTCTAGAGGTGAGTGAAGGGTTAGTTTTAATTCATCACGCAAATCAAGGAATTTCGATACCTACCTAATCCACCTATCTAGTTAACTAACCATGGTTAATGTCGGCAGTCTATTTAAAAATTAAAAAAAAAGTGTTTTTTTATTTTTATTTTAAATTTTTATATATAACAAGTATAAGTATAATAAAAAAAAAAAAAAAGAGACCCCTTATTTAAGATGTGTAATATTTGCTTATATTAGGAATTCGTTGTATACAAGTTATTTTTTTTATTTTTTTATGATTGGGATATTCGGATTAGCGTATAGACATTTTAACTAATTTTTTTGAACTTTAAAATTACCAATCGAATAAAAATTTCAGTGATTACCTCTATTAGCAATCAAAGAGAGACTCGAACTCATAACCTCTTGAAAAATAACTCAAGAGTTCCTATTAAACGACTGAATTACCCAAAAGTAGTTTTGTATATCAGTTATTATTGTGAATTAAATGTATATATATTCGACCAACCAAGTTGTATTATAACAGTATTAAATATTCACAAATCAAGGAATTGGGCATCAAACCCAACCCATATCTAGTGTTAGCATAATTGATGTTGGTGTTGTAAATCATATTGCGTTACTCGACGTTGTAAATCATATTACAGTATTATGTATTAGATAAGCGTACATTTAATCAAGTAAGTCAATGTTATGTCGTTACTACTATTATAGGATTGAATATATATTTACATATATCTGATAAATTATTGAAGATTTGTCATTTTATAATAGGAGAAATTTGATTTTAATTATTATATTAAATAAAATAAATTTAAATATTAATTCAAACTTTTTTTTTTCTATAATCAAAGATTTTTAAATCTGTTTTTTTAAATTGTAAGTTCAAAACTACATCTCCCGTTGTGGTCAAATGAAAACCCTTTTAATCACTAGATAAATTATATTTGAAGATTTTGTGTTCGAATAATTGGAAAGACAATTATCGGGTTTATAAAAAAAAAAAAAAATTGAAAACTAGAATTTCAGCTTGGAAAATAGCCGGGGCATGGTCCAAAATGAACCATGGTTAGTGCGCTCAAGTCAAGTCAAGAATGAGAGCGAAAGAAGAAGTTGCGTATGAAGCAAGCGAGAGCATGAAATTGCGTGAAGCAGGACCCACTAATATCAAAGCTATGGGTCCTACATTGACGTGGCCACACGTACTCTCCTACGTGTACGTCACTTTCTACGCACGCATAACACCCGATCCCTTCTCTCTCTCTCTCTCTCTCTCTTCCATTACCATTACTAATTTTTTAGATTTTAAGGATATTTTATTCCACTCTAATGGGTTTTGATGTGACGTGTCCATGAAGATTGACTTTGACCCCTCTCTAATTTCTCCATTATTGGTATAAATTATTGTAAATTTATGAAAATTATAACCCTAAAATCATATAATAATTTATGATTTTTCTCTTATTTCTTTTAATGGAAAATCCATAAAAAATATATTAAAAAAACCTCAAAAAATCATATTTGATCGAGATTTTTCAAAAATTATTCATATACGAAAAAAGAAATATCACCAACCGATACATTTATATTATTTTATTATTTACCCATTTTTATAGAACAACTTTTCATACACGTAACATCGTAAATTCTCTTTTTCAATAAAAATTGGCTTAATTTTGATGTGATTGTTTTTTATAAGGTTGTAGACCCGAAAGAGGTTAATGAAAAATGATAAAATAATTAAAACAACTCCCACATAAACTATAAGAAAAAAGACAAATTTACAAATATAATTTAACATTGGATTATATTATATAGTTTACTGACATACAAACAATAGCTTTGTGAGACAAAATGGGTTTCAATTTTATATAAATATTTATTAATTTACTTTTTAAATATTTTATCTTTTTGAGCTATATCAAATGTATGTAGCTCTTCGAGGTCGGATCAGTCATTTTTATTTATTTATTTATTTTTACAAAAACTCCTTCACTTTATTTAACATGAAGCGTCATGTGCAATTGTCGTTTTTGGCAGGTTCTATTTGGAGCAATTAAGGAGAGTAATTAATTAATGTTAAGTGAGATTAGGCGTTTATGAAGAGTTAATTGCTTTGTGAGACACATGAATGGCTAAATATTAATGAATTAATTTTGTTTGTTAGTAGTTGAGTTTAATTAAGGGGGCAAATCATGCGGGTTTCTTTCTAATTTCATGTGCCTGTAGATTCCTTTTAATTTAATTTAATCCAATAAATTTAAGGGCATGTTCTTAAACATGGATTGGTTTCTTAAATTTATTTAAGAAAAATTAAATTATATACACTTGTTTTGAACATAATTAAGAAATACGTTGCATAGTATAAATATTGACGAGAAACATCTGTTTTCAAACCTGAAACCAAAAATTGTATGTAGTCGAGAATGATGGATAACAAACAGAGCCCCAACAAGAGATCAACATTTAGAACTATAAGTTTAGTTGAGATACTATAACTTAAGTTAATAAACAGAGTTACAAAGAATCAGAAGAATTCAAACACAAATACGTTAAAACTGATCATTATGAATCAATAATCACAAGCTTCAACTTGAATTAACAAATTAATGATTTTGTTTAATGGGTTGTGATTCATTGGTTCCTCTATCCTCAAATCATTCTCAAGAATCCTCCATAATGGGAGGAGAGTTGACCTTTTTTCCTTTGATGAAGTGGCCTTCTAATTTTTGCCCAATAATTAAAGCTTTACATGATTCCCATTTCATGTCCACTAATGCAAAAACTTATACTCAAAAACAGATAAATTAAAATACAGAAATTAGTTGACTTTTAACAGGTTGTCAACTCTTCAAGTGTCAATGATAATGGCTAAGATCACCCAATGATGAAGACACTAGCTGCCTTAATTCAATATGGTGCATACAGAGTGGACAGTAGGCCTAGTTAACATTATTCTAATTAAAATTTTGTTATCATAATATTTAGTGGAATAAAAGCTCGTATTAGAAAAGGATCTTGCATACCAGATTATCCTTGTGCTTGTAAAAAGCAAAAGGATTAAGCCAATTAATGTCTTTGTTAACAAAGATAATGTTGTTTAAATATACCTAATGGAAGCACTTTTTTGGTTCCACTAACAAAACCAATTTGCCATTGAACTTTATATTATCACCACAAATTTTTTCTTATTATTGCTACCTAAGAAAAGTGATGGATAACTGAAAAACAAGTAAATGGGCCGCAAGAGTAACCCAAAATGGACCATACATAGGCCCTTTAGAATTCTTCTTCGGCCTCCTTTACAAGGCCCATTTGTGCACAGCAATCCAGAGCAATGAGCAGAAACTACCCAAAAAACTCGTTGCTTAATCAATTCTTCAATAGATAAAGAACCAATTTGCTATTGCCTGTGGCTTGATGGCATTACACTCCTAGAGCTCATTAATGTACATAAATTTGATGTGAAGGAAGCAAAACAGGCAGAGGAAGGGGGCACAGAAACAACAGATGAAAAGCAGATTCACCATGGGGAAATTTTGTTCACATGAACAGGGATCGAGGCAACAAATGTTACTAACAGTGAACATATATTTTACAGCTTCAAATGACAAATCAAAACTTTAAGGAGTCTTCTAAAGAACTGCGTATCTAACATGGTTGCATTGCACTTACTCATGCACACTCATAGAAATGCTTATGCATACACAATGAGCAACTAAAATTTCAGTGACAAGATCTTACAATCTGCAGAAGCGTCAAAAGCACATTAGTGTTTTTCTGAAGGCATCCCATTGGTCCTCTCTAGATCCATCTTGCAATTCTCTCTCAAATCTTTTAGTGTAACAAAACTTGCTTGCTGCAGAGCAGATATGAGAGTATTAATCACTGCAGAGATTAAAAATGAAAATCTATGAAATATGAACAATAGGTGACCATTATGCTCGACAATTAGCAGGCATGAATTTGCAAATGAAGAATTGGTTAGAGCAATGAATAAGAGGGACCAAGATCCAACAAGTAAAGGATCAAGCATTCACAACAATAATTTGTGATTTTAACCAAATACTTATATCCAGCAATAATATTTAAGACTTCTTATGATAGTCTGAGTTGTTTAGATTATTCATGTATAAAACGAGACGCTCATGGTAATCCCAATGGAAAGTGACATTCTAAAGTAAACAAAACCTAGTTAAGGAAAAAAATTAGAGAAATTGAAACTATGTAAGAGTAACAGAAGTTACACTCACAAGCTGACTGCTTTCATGACCAAATATATCCTCCATGTGAGAAAAGAGTGACCTCCACTGACTCATGAGATCAGATTCTAGTTTTGATGATTTTCCCGAGCTTCCTTGGCCAGGAATTTCCAATTCCTTTCCCCTGACACACTTTTGAACCAAGCAGCTCGCTTCTTTCTGACTCTTCTTTAATGCTACCATTGTAAAGAAACAGTGTGATATCATGAGATAACAGACTACTCCTTGATGATACAGAATTTAGTCAGAAACATACTAGCTAAAGTGGCACTTTTTATGTATTACAGATGATTTACCAGCTATGCGACCCTTGATGTCCTGATAATGGAGATCCGACCAAATATAAGCAGCTGATCATCAAATTAAAAACAATTTCACACCATCAAATGCCGTGTACAACAAATAAACTTTTACAAATCCGAGACAGGAAAAGAAATAACATACATATCTAAAAACCATAAACATACAATTACCTTTTAAGCAAAAGGAGCAAGAGCAATCTTTGAGCATATCAGCACCCACATTTAAATTCACACAACCATCATCCTTAAGCCCCGCACATCTCTCCAACTCAAACGATTTCAAACCCTGTGACTTAGGCAACCTCGACCATTCAATCGACCCACATTTGCTTGACGCCAATCTTCCCACACCAACATCTTTATCATTGCTAACACGACCAACTTGTGCTCCTACTCCTTCCTCGCAACCTTTCTTCGAGCATGTGGGCATCAAAACACTAGACACACAACAATCCCTCGACGCCTCACCAAGTTCTACCCCATTGTGAGCTATTGTAACACCTAAATCGCATGACTTGTCAATTTTATCAGGTTCATTAGACACAATAGAAACGACGTTCTCACACAAAGACACTCCCTTTTCAGAATTATCAACTCCAGACTTCTTGTTCTTACTCATTTCTTTTACTAAATTTTCAACTTGTAAACAAACTTTCTTCGCAAAACCCGAATTCCCATTTTCACTATCACCAGATTTAGGCCCCAAATCGCCCGAAATCAACGAAACCGCTCTTTTAACAGGTCGATTTGTCACATCACCCAAAGCGGGTCGGTTCGGACGCAACCCGTCAGTGAAATTATCTCCACTCATTATCAAAATTCAAATCAATTTCACTAAATGAACACAAACAATATCAAATTCAGCTCATAAATTACAAATAACACAAACCCATTTCGTAAATAAGCCAAAGAAAAAAAAAAAGAATCGAAGATGAAACACTAAGATTCATTGACAAAAGTAACATAAAACAAAATGAAACCCCAAAATCTTGAAATCAACTTGAAAAGTTAGATGGGTATTGAAGAAACTGACCTTTAAAGAGAGAAACTGCGAGTGGATGAAAGAATCTGAAACCTGGGTCTTGTGATATTGAGTTTGCGTGGTGAAGTGTTTTTGTGTTTGTGCAGGCGGGAACCAAATTTAATTCGGAGCCTGACCCGCGTTTTTGAATTATTTGGGCGCGGGTGTGCGAGGAGCCGAAGACCCTCGGATTGACAAGCACGTGATAGAGGAAAAACGACTGGGGGTGTGTAGTGTGTTTGATATAAAA